CCTGGAAGCCTGGCTAGCGCTTCCCGGGGTTCCCACTGGGTCATCAGAACGATCAGATTCGGCTACGCGATTCAGTTCGCACGGTCTCTTCCCCGCTTCAGGGGAGTTCGCTCCACGATGGTTGGTGGCAATGCCCCAGTCTTGAGAGCGGAGATTGCGACCCTGCTGGCGAAGGGTGCAATCGAGACGGTCCCTCCAGCCGAGGTGAGGTCCGGGCTTTACAGCCCCTACTTCATTGTCCCCAAGGAAGACCGGTGGGTTACGACCGATCCTGGACTTGCGCATTTTGAACCGTTCTCTCCATCGACTACCGTTCAAAATGCTCACGGCCAAACGCATTTTCGAATGTGTTCGGTATCAGGATTGGTTTGCAGCGATTGACCTGAAGGACGCGTACTTCCATGTCTCCATTCTCCCTCGACACAGACCGTTTCTTCGGTTTGCCTTCGAGGGCCAGGCATACCAGTACGCCGTTCTCCCATTCGGGTTAGCTCTGTCCCCTCGCGTCTTCACGAAGATCGTCGAGGCAGCCCTTGTTCCCCTTCGCGAACACGGGGTTCGCATCCTGTACTATCTCGACGACTGGCTGATACTAGCACACTCTCGAGCTCAGGTTTGCGAACACAGAGACCTGGTGCTACGGCACCTAGCCCGTCTGGGCCTTCGGGTCAACCGGGAAAAGAGCAAACTTTGCCCCGTGCAGAGGATCTCTTTTCTCGGCATGGAGATAGACTCGGTCGCCATGTCCGCGCAGCTCACGAACGAGCGCGCGCACTCACTGCTGGCTTGTCTTCGACAGTTCGAGGGCAAGAGTGCGGTTCCACTGAAACTATTTCAGAGGCTCCTGGGGCATATGGCATCCGCGGTACGCCGCTCGGTTTGCTTCATATGAGACCGCTTCAGCTGTGGCTTCGCGATCGAGTCCCGAGGTGGGCATGGCATCGCGGCTCGCTCCGAGTTCCAGTGACTCCGACGTGCCGCCGAACCTTCTTCCCGTGGTCGAACCTCAGCTTTTTACGGACAGGGTCCCTATTCAGCGAGTTTCCAGGCATCTCGTTGTCTCCACGGATGCGTCTACCACGGGTTGGGGTGCCATGTGCAATGGGCATGCAGCCGCCGGTTCCTGGACAGGAGCCCAGCGCCTCACTCACATCAATTGCCTGGAGCTGTTGGCAGTACGGCTCGCCCAGCACCGCTTCCGAGCGTGCTCTGAGCCAGCATGTGCTTGTCCGCTCAGACAACACTACGGCAGTAGCGTACATCAACCACCAGGGGGGGTCTACGCTCGCGCCGGTTGTCGCAGCTCGCCCGCCACCTCTTGATATGGAGTCAGAAGCACCTGAGGTTCCTTCGTGCAGTTACATTCCTGGAGACCGGAACCGGGCAGCCGACGAGCTGTCCCGGGCCCGTCCATCTCCGGCGAATGGCGACTCCATCCCCAGTTGGTCCAGCTGATTTGGGACCAGTTCGGGGAGGCACAGATAGACCTGTTCGCCTCTCGGGACTCGTCCCATTGCGCCCAGTTTATTCTCTGACCCGCGGCTCCGGCTCGGATGCGCTGGCGCACAGCTGGCCACGGGGCCCACGCAAGTGTGCGTTCCCCCAGTGAGCCTCCTTGCACGGGTGTTGTGCAAGATCAAGGAGGACGAGGAGCAGGTCTTGCTGGTAGCCCCCTACTGGCCCACCAAGACGTGGTTCTCCGAACTCATGCTCCTCGCGACAGCACCTCCTTGGCCTATTCCTCTGAGTACTCTCTCAGAGACGGGGCACTCTGTGGCACCCTCGTTCCGATCTTGGAGGCTGCACGTGTGGCTCCAGGACGGGACGAGGCAGGTTTGAGTTCGTTGCCACCTGCGGTGGCGGCAACCATCACTTCCGCAAGAGCGTCGTCCACGAGACACCTTTATGCGTTGAAGTGGAACCTCTTCGTCAATTGGTGTTCTTCTCGCTGAGAAGACCCCCGGAGATGTTCGATCGGAGTCGTGCTTCCTTCCTGCAAGAGGGGTTGGAGCGTAGGCTGTCGCCCTCCACCCTTTGGATTTATGTCGCGGCCATTGCCGCGTCTCATGATGCAGTGAAAGGTAAGTCTATGGGAAGCATGACCTGGTCATCAGGTTCCTGAGGGGAGTGAGGGGGCTAAATCCGCCTCCCTCCCCTCCTGCCCTCTGGGGACCTCTCAGTAGACCTGGGTGCTCTGCAGAGGCCTCCCCTGGAGCCTTTGCAGTCGGTAGAGTTTTTGCCCTGTCCTATGTGACAGCACTCCTGATTGCATTGGTCTCCATCAGGAGAGTAAGGGACCTGCACGCACTCTCTGTTGACGAAGTGTGCCTGGAGTTCGGGCCGGCTTACTCTCACGTATTCCTGAGACCCCGGCCTGGATATATGCCCAAGGTTCCTACCACTCCCCTCCGGGACCTGGTGGTGAACCTGCAAGCGCTGCCCCTGGAGGAGGCAGACCCAGCCTTGGCACTGCTCTGTCCGGTACGTGCTCTCCGCACCTATGTCGACAGAACGCAGTGTTTCAGGACCTCAGACCAGCTCTTTGTCTGTCATGGGGGGAGCCAGATGGGAAGGGCTCTCTCAAAGCAACGGCTGTCCCACTGGATAGTGGATGCCATTGCTTTGTCTTACCAGCAGCAAGGCCTTCCGTGCCCCCTTGGTGTGACGGCCCATTCCACTCGGAGTGTAGCCTCCTCTTGGGTCTTAGCGCACGGCGCCTCGCTAACAGACATCTGCAGAGCTGCAGGCTGGGCGACACCCAACACCTTCGCCAGATTCTATAATCTGCGAATTGAGCCGGTATCCTCTCACGTACTCGTTTCGGCCAGTTCTGGATCCGCTCAGGTGTCTTCGCTTGCTCGCCACTCCACTCCCCGGACTGGATAAGTGCGATATTTCCTCAGTTCTTCCATTGAAGTCTTGAGTCCTCCAGCACCGACGATGCGGGCACCACTGCGTTGCTCTGGATGCTAGCTAGGTGCCTCCATGCGCACGGTTCCCCATGGTAACCGTCTCATGTGTATTATCCACTGTAAGCCTCTCTGAGCATGTGTCTTCCCTTGGCAAGCCATCTGCCACCCCTGGAGTTTAAATCAGTAGCCACCTGCGGTTGGTACTCCAGTGTTCCATATGCGTTCCTATGTGGCCATATGTGTATTCATAAGTCCTCCCTTCGGTAGGCAGCTGGTAGCATGTCCCCTTCGGGATATGTTTCCCAGTGTACCTTGGTAATCCTGTGTCAAAGTCGGATCCCCAAAAAAAAAAAAAAAAAAAACGAGGTAAGGCTCGGGGGTTCAGTCTTTCGCAGGGCACTGGAAGACAGCTTGAAGATGGCGTGATGGCACAGACCCCCAATCTCCGTCACTTCTGACGTAACTCGAAGTGACTACGAAAGGGAACGTCTCGGTTACGTATGTAACCCTCGTTCCCTGAGTAGGGAACGGAGACGTTACGTCTCCCTGCCACTTCTGCTGTATCGCTGGGTAGATGCCGAGTTCAGTCTTGGCTCCTCAGCGAAGACATACTGCGGTTGCGTTCACTTCCTCCTTTTATACTCACGGAGTAGGGCGGAGTACGCTATGCAAATTTCCGCAGCCCCAAGGCATTGCATGCCATTGGCTCGTGTTTAAATACTCGAAGAGGATTGGCTTTCTATGCGAAACCCCCAATCTCCGTCACTTCTGACGTAACGTCTCCGTTCCCTACTCAGGGAACGAGGGTTACATACGTAACCGAGACGTTCTCTCTGCACTATGAAATGAAAAGTCCCCACTTTAGGGCACACAGTTTCCTCCGGGAGGGAGCTCTAGAGTTCAGGAACAACATCAGTTGAGAAACCAGCTGTGGTGAGCAGGACGGCCGAGGGACGTGAGAGAAAGTCGCGAGGCCGGTGGTGCGATTGCTAATGAGCACCTGCGAGGCACACCGGTCTCGCATCTCTCACGAAGGAGCGGAGCCATAAAGGGGGAGCGACGGAGTGGATGATCGAGAGAGGAACAGGCCTGCTTTTATTTGTATTTTATATTTTATTTGGTAAGCCAGCAGTCGTCCGTGAGGGGCTGCTGGCCGGTATTTTATGTTTTATTTTGGGTAGCCAGCAGTCGTCCGCGAGGGGCTGCTGGCAGGTAATTTGTTTGTTTATTTTGTTTAAATAAAGTTTTATTTTATTATTATGATCCGTTTCCTGCCTTCTTCTTCCCTGAACTTTGTTACACCAGCGTTCATGAGTTGATCGCCCTCAAGGGCCAAACCCACAAATTCCACATCTCCTGTTGGGGGTGAAAAATCATTTGCCCATCCAGCAAAGACATCAGGTCAGTCTAGTTTGATCAGACATCAAACTAGACTTGGCCAGAACAGGGTTACTAGTTGACGAACCCTGTCCTGGTGATCCCTCTCTAGAACTTCCAGGAGCAATCGGGGGGAAATGCATAGCCTACAGACATAGCCTTGGCCCAGGACTTACAGTATTCAGTCCATCCTGTTGCCCATCTTCAAGTCTAGTTTTCCGCTCGAATGTTTCGATAAAATTAAGAAAATAATCGAAAAGCGAGATTTAAAACACAGTCGTTTTTCGACACAGCCATAGTCCCAGCTCACCACGAACATCATATTAAATGTACGGAATGATACTATCAAAAACATGTTAATATCAGATTAGCATGTTATATCAAATAGCAGCTCTGGGTGTGCCCGATCAGACTAAAGATCCATGAATGTGAGTTATTCTTTATATGGAGATCAAACAACTACTAGCAGACAAAACATGGTAAATGTTTGATTATGTGAGCATTGAAGTAGGCCTAATCTGCAGGATCCAGATTGATACGTGATGTGTAGACACTGGACATATAGTTCAGGCAGGTAATATAATGCATTCAAGTGCCGCTTTAAGACAATCAGCTCAAAATGCAAAATATATTTATAGAGATGGAACAAGAAATGAGTTCTGAATGTTCCTAAGCCAGGTGATGACCCGATTCTGTGTGATTCAGACTCACGTGATGAATCTATTCCAGATGGACCTGGAACAGGCTCAGAAATGTCCTCACTTGGTTCACCCATCAGATCCTGACCTGGAAATGGTGTACACGATGGGGATTGGGGATGGTTGATACTCGTTATTTAATCAATTACTTGCTTGACATTCATGATTAATTGGCGATAATGATTAATAATCCGATGAACATTCTCAAGATATTCAATGTTGTGTAAATGATATGGTGCATCTCTAAATAAACATTTAACGGAGCACAATGTAAATACATTTTAATAGGAATGGGCAATATATTGAAGAGAGATGAATATTCTTGAAATATAAAATGACCAGCATCATAAGTATTGTGATTATTGTAATGAGCCTTTTATTTGGCGTTTACGTTTCAGAAATTTGTGCAGACTAATCATTTATTTTCTTGTGATTTGTATGAGGTAGCCTATTTAAAATGAATTATTAGTGTCTCGTTCTACAAAAACCTATCTTGTTGAAAGTTGCTTATATGGAAGTGTAGATGTTGACAACGTTCAACAGATTCACAGCAGATAAGAATACGATTCCTTCTGTTTACAAAGTATAAAACATATCCCACTAGTAACTGTGTAGTTGTGCTTAAAACCAGTAGATGGCGCCATTATACAATTATCTGTTTCGTTCTCTGCGTTACTGCCTGATTCCTGATTTGTTTATGACTTATGAAAATATGGAACAACTCTGGATTTGCCCAGAGCCTTGCACAAATCTGAGAGTTACAATCCTCCATGACAGAGATGAGAGAAGCAGTGTTTGAGATAACAATTTTACGTGCACTTCATAAATGTGGGGATAGATGAAAGCTTTTGCTGCAGTAATGTAAAATCAAATCTGCTGGTGTTTGCCCAAAATTTAAGGGATACATTCAGCTGTTTGATGGGACCAAAACTGAAAAAAACTGAAAAAAATCCAGCAAATTAAAAAAGGTCAAAATGATTAGATATATTATTAATATTATTATTAGTCCCCCTTTAAAATAAAAATCTTCCAAGTTCCAACAAATTATAAAGGGTAAAAAAAAATGTTTTAAAGGGGGACTAATACAAATATTAATAGTACACTAATATATTTAAATTTAATGTATATATATATATATATATATATATATATATATATGTAATCTCAATCTAATGCTATTCACCAAGTCTTCTGAAGTCAAACAATAGCTTTGTGTGAGGAAAATAATGAAATTTTGCTTTCAAAAATAGAATTTTGTATAATTATAAAAAGTTTATAACCTGCATTCCAAACCTGCATTTCCAAGTTCCAAACCTGCATGACACTCTTTTTCTGCAACGAAGAAAGACATGTCTACTGAAATGTGTTTTTTAGTCCATAGAATGAAATTCAGTATTGGCTTTAATGTTCTTTTCCCAATATTTTACAAAATATGTTCCACAGAATAATGAAAGTAACACAGGTTTGGAATGACATGAAGGCAAGTAAAAGATGACAGAATTGTTTTATTTTGAGGTGAACTCTTGTAAAAGAGAAGTACACTTTAGCATACTTTAAAGGCAATAGCTCAAATGTAATGTAATCATGTAACTCGACACTTAACTGCATGTTTTTTTGCAATTAAATGAAAATGTAATTTAAAAATGTAAATTTATATTAAATGCAATCAGTTGAATTTAATTTGACTTTGACATCTAAATAATGCATACTTGGAATTTGTCCTCTGCATTTAACCCATCCAAGTCAAGTGAACACACACACACCTGGAGCAATGGGCAGCCATTTTTGCTGCGGCACCGGGAAGCGATTGGGGGTTATATGCCTTACTCAAGGCCAGGGCATCTCATTCATTTCCTGCCGGTATCAAGAATCAAACCCGCAACCTTCGGTTACCAGTCTGACTCTGTAACAATCAGGCCATGCCACCAAATCAACTTTTATTAGTATTTTATCTGCAAGTGCAGTTTGAAAGAACACATAATAAAACTTGAAGTAGGCCTACACTACAAGGGTAAATTCAATTCAAAGTCTTACCTCTCAGATCGTTCGCAATTTGTCTACCTCAGTATGGGGAACGTGATTTCACCAAGTACCACATGTTCCTGGATCAACATCTTTGCTGATCCTGGATCAACTTTCCAATCAACCAATCAGATTTATAGGACAAGTTTACAGTTTATGTCAAGTTTAGACTAAGAACCAGGGTGAACGGAAAAGCTATGGGGTTAGGTTTTAGAACTACATTTTGGGACAGGAATGTTGATCCAGCATCAACAAAATATGTTGATCCAGGAGCATCTCTTACTTGGCAAAATCCCAGTGACCGACCTGGGTACTAACAGATGCCTGATTGTGCCTCTGTGTCAGGGTGTCCCTCAGGGCTCAGTTTTGGGTCCTGTTTTATTTAGTGTTTATATGCTGCCTCTTGGGCAGATCATTCATAAGCAGGCTATGGCCTGAGCTTTCACAGATTTATATCAGTTCTCAGCCTGATCTCAATTCTTCCTCTTCAAAACTTTCTGACTGTTTGTTGGAAATCAAAGCATGGATGAAACTCAACTTTCTCCAACTGAACTGCTCCAAAACTGAAATCTTATTAATTGGCACTCCATTTAATGGCAGTAAATATACAGATTTTCAAATTTCAGTAGACAATACCCAATTGTCCCCCTTCTGGCCAGGTGCGTAACTTGGGCGTGTTTTTTGATGCCCAGCTAACTTTTAATTCATATTTTAAAAACATCACGAAGGTTGCTATATTCAGTCTGAAGAACATTGCGCATATTAGACCATTTCTCTCTAGGCCTGATCCAGAGAGGCTTATCTATGCCTTCCATCATGTCAAGGCTTGATTATTGTAATTCTCTGTTTGATGGTTTACCAGCAAATTCTATTAAGAGGTTGAAAAATATACAGAACTCTGCCGCACGTGTTTCAACTCATACATCCTCACGACATCAAATTACACCCGTGCTCTAGCAACTCCATTGGCTTCCAGTTCAGCCACATATTGATTTTAAAATTTGAACGTATAAAGCAGTACATGGGTTGGCTCCAGATTACATCTGTGATTTGATTACTCCATCCACTCCCGCTCGCTCTCTCCGTTCTGCTGGCTCTCTCTCTCTCTCTGTATCAGCCTCATTGTAAATTGAAAACCATGGGGGGAAGAGCCTTTTCCCTAAGTTATGGATATATATAGATATATATATATATAGATATATTCAATACTTCTATATTCTTTACTTCCATGTTTGATTATTTTGTTCTGTACATGCTGTAGTGCAGTCTGAGTATAACATGTATTATTATTATTAATTCAATTAAGTACTTCTTTTTATCAAGGGAATCCCTTTAAGTTCTTTTCAAAACATTTATTGTACTTTCGGTAACACTTTAGAATACGGTTCCTTCGTTAATGAATAACTACACAAGAACTAATGAGTAACACAATATTAACAATCTAGTAACTATTATTAACTAACAAGAAACTCTGATTAACGAACTAGTAAGTAATAGCGCACAGACGAAAGTGGTAGTTCCCTATTAAGTAATCAATAACTACTATTTTTTTTAATTCTTCCCAGAGAACTACTGAAAAAGTTTATTAACAATCTAGTAACTACTATTAACTAAAATAAACTCTTATTAACGAATTAGTAAGTAATAGTTCACAGATGAAAGTGTTACTAGATACTTCTGTGGGAATTACTAATTATTTGGATTCGTATTATAAAGTGAAGATCATTGGAACTAACTAGTAATTACTCAAGTGTTACTACATGATCTAGTCATGATTTGTGCAAATGTTTGAGATTTTTGGTGAACTTTAGTATACTTTTAGAAAATGTCTTTAGTAACACTTGAGTAATTACTAGTTAGTTCCCATGATCTTCACTTTATAATACGGATCCAAATAATTAGTAATTAATAGCTCATAGATGAAAGTGTTACTAGATACTTCTGTGGGAATTACTAATTATTTGGATCCGTATTATAAAGTGAAGATCATTGGAACTAACTAGTAATGACTCAAGTTTTACTACATGATCTAGTCATGATTTGTGCAAACGTTTGAGATTTTTTGGTGAACTTTAGTAACTTTTAGAAAATGTCTTTAGTAATACTTTAGTAATTACTAGTTAGTTCCAATGATCTTCACTTTATAATACGAATCCAAATAATTAGTAATTCCCACAGAAGTATCTAGTAACACTTTCATCTGTGAGCTATTACTTACTAATTCGTTAATAAGAATTTATTTTAGTTAATAGTAGTTACTAGATTGTTAATAAACTTTTTCAGTAGTTCTCTGGGAAGTATTAAAAAAATAGTAGTTATTGATTACTTAATAGTGAACTACCACTTTCGTCTGTGCGCTATTACTTACTAGTTCGTTAATCAGAGTTTCTTGTTAGTTAATAATAGTTACTAGATTGTTAATATTGTGTTACTCATTAGTTCTTGTGTAGTTATTCATTAACGAAGGAACCGTATTCTACCGTACTTTCTTGTATGGTGCTTGTCTATTAAATGCATTCCAAGACAAACGATGAAAACTCAACAAAAGTACTACTGGAGAAGCTAAAACAGCCTCACTGGAAATTAGTGTTCTCCGTTTCGACTTTATATTTGATATTAAGAATAAAACAAGTCATTGACATTTATCTCTGAAGACTCAAGATGTTAACGTCTGTCATCAACACAGTGGGAGTTTTATTCTTCTGAGGTTTGAAATTGAGATGCAAAGCACCATTTCTCTTCCCCCTCTTTCCAAGTCATGAGCCCACACTGAGAGAGCAGGGCTCTCCATAAATTAGGAAGAGGTCTTGCTGGGAGATCGCAATGGCGAATGAGGTGATTTTGGATTTATTTCATACTTCTCTGCTGTCACTCAGCTTTGCCTCCACAACACAGCGGAGAGAGTTATCACAACAGCAGCGCTAATGCAGACGTAATGCAGATGAGCTGCAGTCAGAGATTTGCTGCATGAAAAGCCCTGCACTCTCAGAAAAAAAGGTACAAAAGCTGTCACCCTTTCAAAAGGTACACTGTAAAAAAATAATCCGTTAAACTTCCGGCTTAAAA